TATTGCAAAACAACACGAATACATTCACCGATATGACCAACAGAATTGATAAACGGCAAAATTCAAGCCGTGGGGTAAAATGTCTGAAAACATCCGATTGCTCCCAAAACCCGTGAGGGAATATCCCGGAAATGTTCGAAGCGACACTTCCCGTACGCTAGATCGGTGTATAATTAGGTGTTTTACAGACAGGAATAGAAAAATCGGTTTACCGTGCCTTTTGAACAAGTTCTTTGTTGTTACTTTGTGTTTGAATGTTTATTAAGTGGAGGATTAATTAAACAAGAAGTTTTAAAAGAAACCTGCCTCCTTCCAAAAACCCCAATATCCTCGAAAAATAACGTAGTTTTTTATAAACTAACCAAAACTAATAAGATTCTATAACTGCGCGTGTACTAACTATTTTAGGAGCGTTCAACGAAGAAATTTCATTTAGTATTACAAACCGTCTATTGTATTGTAATATAATTTGACATAGGCCAACTTTTCAATTTGGTTTATTTTTTCCCAGATTGTAAAAACTAACGTATATGCGCCGTATGCATGGCACGTCACATACATAACGCTAGTGCGACAAAATTTAAAACCAGTTTCACACCTACCTCTAATATAAATTAATTAAATAAACCAGTAAATTCTTCGCATACCCAGCCCAACCATATATGGTTTACATACACCTATCCCATATGGATATCTTGCTGAACTTTTTTTCACGTTTTAGCAAACTGCAAATCAATGAAGTAGTAGTATTATAGCTAGTAGTTATGTCGGGTGTCCAAACTAGGGTAATTAAAAGAAATATATTGAATAAGTCAATAAAAAATGTTGGAAATTATTTTCGCGTTCTGTAAAATCTTCTGATTCCAACTATAGCTAGTGACTACTGTGTTAAAGTTGACATAAATTGAAATGGTTTTTGCTGTGAAAGAAAAGTGATATTCAAATCTCAGCATTTTTAGTCTAATCTAAATTATGAATACTATGTGCACACAGGATAGTCCGGAAGCCGTGGATCTTTTTTCAAAATAATAAGCAACAAGATAATTCTTTTGTAGTGGCCTTGTTTTAATTTTAATTGCTATATCAGATAGCTAACAAAATGGGCAGGTATCCAATAATATCAATTTAGTTATCATGCAAACATTATCAGCAACAGTTTAGTTTTCAGCTAAATCTTGAGAAAATTAAATATGTAATTTGGAAAAAAAAGTTGTATCAATTAATTATTTATAAAAAGCAATAAACTGTGCTGATCAATTTTGCTTGGCCACTAAATTGACATGATTTGACATCGGCTCATTTTATTAGCTACCTGATATAGTAATTTTCGTAGATGCAAGAGTTGGAGTCTTGATAAAATGAATCCACTCCCAAAGAATTATCTTGTTGCTTTTCATTTTGAAAAAATATCTAGGGCCCCCAAAACTGACAAACAAGTGAGAAAGTAAAATAGTCTTTTGTTGTGGAACCCTCTGTTTCTTAAAATACGGTTTGCAAGATATCAACCACCGATGTCTAAATTACTACGTCCTCTAATTAACTAATTATTTTTTTCCAGTCCCCAGCACAAAATATCCAATTTTCAACGGATGAAGCGTGCGAAAAATCTCCCTTTAAGAGGTCGACCACTTCGTTACCCACGGTCACGAGCCACTTCGGAAATTTCCTATACTTTAGTCACGGGTTTGGGAGCGATCCGATGTTTGAGGTCGATTTAAGACACCGATGGTATTTTGATGTTTGTCGATTTAAACGGTCACACCCCCCGTTGCTCCGCTCGTAGCAAATCAAACTCATGACTAAAATGACGTTTATCGAACTCTTTGCATAATATACTATTTCTAACGAGATCAAGTTTGTTGGATAGACATTTAGGAGTTATAGCTGTTAATTTAAAAAAAAAAAAAAACTTGAAATGAAAGGAGACAAAATTTGGTAATATTGCAAGGGCTAAAAGCAAGAAATATATTTTAAGACCGTGCATTCATAAAATAAAAGTATGGCGTTTTTATTTAGAACAAATTCTTGAAAACTAAAAACCTAATGAGATAATTATACGTACTAGGTATAGAAACGGCAGGTGAAAAACAGCGATATTAAAAAAGAAAACGTAATTTTTTAAATAAAACGCCGTGTATTATAAAAACCAAGCCCAAAAATGAAAAATAAAACTCAACACGTTCACGCGCGTCATTAAATTGTGGAAATTTCTTTCCGACTCATCCTATAAATTACTATAGTCAACTTAAATGTTGCAGGAGAATGAAAATAGTATATAATGTAACAACTTTTCATATCGAATTTTGCGAATTTCGTTTGGCACGACCGAATGCAGTCGAACGAGTACTTATTAAACTTAAACTTCATTGTTTGATGAAGTTTATTAATGTGTTGCATATTACACTTTTTCTGCAAACAACACGAATACACTTCCTGAAATGATCGTCAGAATTGACGAATATTAAAATACAAAGTCTACGCTCTCAAACCTGTGACTAAAATATAGGAAACATCAGAAGTGGCTTGGGACCGTGGACATCTTACAGGTACACTCTCTACCACCTTTGATCCGTGCACACAGACTTGAAAAAATAACTTACTGCCAAAAAATGAAAGCCACTGTTATCGAATTCCCGGTAACAAGCGACTTTGGTAAATCATTTTGTACTTTAGCCGTTTTGCGGGTTTTTATTCACAAAAGCGATACTTTAACATGTTCCATGCAATATTCTAAATTATGCGGGAGACCTTCCTAATTAAGAGGGCCGCCATTGCTGACCCTTTAATTCGCGAAATGTTTGCCTATTTTGTCGCATTATGCAAACAGGCCCAGCCTAGAACGCTCAGTGACCGTTTCTGTTTAGCAATAGTGTGGAGCAATCACGAAATCTATTAGTTCGCCATTGTTAACAGATGTACAGCCAGAGATAATGATCTCTTTTGGATAATTGTACTCGGCTATTCCGTTGTGAGGACACTTATTAGCTTGATATACGCAAATTTCGGACGGATGTTGACGTTCGAAAATGGAATACCGTTATTGTCCGATTGCACACGAGATATTAAAAGGAAATTGCGAGATACGTATACAGTTTTTGAACAATAAGTGTTTTTAGTTTCTTAAAATAATTATATTAATACATGTAAATGAAACATTAGACGTTACTCGTTGTAATAGCTATTTGCGAAATTAGTTGGGAAAAGAACTATTTTCCGAGCGAATTGTGAAGTATAAAAAATAGTGTTTTCCAATGGTTTCACACAATATTTTTAATATGATTTTATCTAACCTAAAATTTTTAAAACTAAGTATATTTCCAAATGTTCACTGTCTCATAGTCTTAAATTTAGGATATAATTCTAATAATATTAAGCGGTTTAAGTTTCTCTCAAAAACGCAAAACAGACATTGTGGTGCATTGGTAATTGGTAGTATGAATATTCATCATCCAATATATGTACAGACTGGGCCAAGTTCATTTTCCACTTTTTGCATGTATATCGAAAAATCATGTTTCGAGCTCGACTTTTGAGAATAGTTAAAGCAGGAAAAGCCAATCTTGATACGTCAACTCGCTTTTGTATTTTTAATATTTTCAAATATTTTAAAGGGGAATTATTTTTTGTATTTTTCAGGTGTCTCCCAATTGAAATACAAGGGTCTAATAAGAATTAGTTTTGGCTTGATTTATTTTTGTTCCTCATGATGTCCCTTTAAAATGAGCAGATGTCACATTTAAGATCAAGTAAAGCTGTGTGCTGAAATTTCTTCTAAAATAAAATTTTGTAAAAGTGAGTATTGAAAAAAATTAAAAGGTTTTCTCTATAGGTATTTATAGAAATATTCACAAAGTGTCATTGGAAAAATCTGCTTTTTTCAGCACGATAGTGCGTCAACGCACAACATCCATGAAATTGGTGCTTTATTAAATGCACTTTGAAATGAAATATAGATTCAATTTATTGACCACCCAAATCACCCCATCGAACTCCCTACGATTATTTCTTTGCAGGAATATTAATCGAGGAATTATTGTCCTCAAAAAAACTTAGAAGAACTGATAACTGCTCTTCGCCAAGACTGCAGGTCCATCATACTATAACTAAATGCAGCCAAGAATATAAACAAATATTCTGTTTAATTTGTTCTTGTATTTTGAATTTTGTGAATATCTTTTTAGTTTTAAAATAAGGAAATAATTATGTGAGTCACTTGTTCTCTCACTTTTCAACTATTGTGATATTATTTATATTTTTTCTATTGATGGTGACTCTAAACGCCATATTCAAGGTTTACGGAATGCTTATGTACATTTTATCATTGATCTCCGAAAATATGACCATATATCTCTGCTGCATATCGTAAACTTATTGGCTTGCAATGGAATAAAGAAGAGTTCTAGATTTTAACATATTTTTCACGAGAATTTTGCATAATCTCCATTTATCGACTATGCTAAAAGATCGACCTAGAAGTACCATCCATTCTGTATACGTAAGGTATAGAAACAAACTAACGATGCCACATCATAAGACTGCCTTCTTTCAGAGATCCTTTACATTCAAAGCAATTCGTTTCCACAATTCTCTATCACACGAATTTTACATTTTAAAAAATATACAAAGATCATCTTCTAGAAATACAATTTTCTTAAAACTTGTTGCTGTCTTGTTTTTTTTTCCTCCGATTTTACAGGTATTTTCCATAGTTTCCGTAATAAATTAATATAAATTTGTATGTATATTTTAATAAATAGTGTGCAATTTATTGACTACATAGTGGTTCAGTAAAGTAGCTATTGAAAGCTAGACTGCGCAAGTATTGAGCTCTCTGGTTAGTTAGGGGTTAGCTTGTTATAAAATGATGTTAACAGATATGTTGTATTTTTTTGTTAATTAAGACTATGACATCTTAATTAAATTGTGCATGTTTACCGGATAGTCTAAAAAGAAAACTAAAACAAAACAAACCATAATAGAATAGTTTAATATTACACACTCTTAACATATTACATTCTACACCAAGTACTTTCATTTTTCTTTTGTAATGCTAACATCTTAATTTCCTTTTTTTACGTTATCTCATAATTTACGATATTCTAATAATGTTTTCTAATTTTGTTTGGTTCCAAACTAACGAGATACAACGATTTTCGATAAATTTATGAGGCAATACAAAAAGACAACTTTCAAGTTCCTCCTAGATTTTGTCGCCGAACTATGTGGTTCTTTTACTGAAAGCCTGTTATTTTGTTCTTCTCATCAACCTTCAGTTCTGATGTCTTAAAAACTGGTTCTGATTAATATTTTTAATGATATGAAATAAATAATTCGAAAATTTCTAAACAGAAGACAACTAACTAACACGAATAATTTGCGGCCGCAGTTTTAAAATTTTCCTATGCCAGCCCAATACGAACAATACGTCTGCGCATGCGCTACCCCTAACATAACTGAAGATTTTCAGCGAAAACCCGAATACTAACGGTTATGGGCATTACACCATCCGAATATATGCGACGATTTAATATTTTCCAGCGATCACACCTGAAGGTTAAAAAAAATCAAATTTTCCCGCCAAAAGTGTCTAAGATCCGGCAAGTGACACAAGTCTTGTTTAATGTCAAGATTCGAGACGATAATTTTCTAAAAAATTGAAAATTGAAATAATTATGAAATTTGAATAAACCAGAAAATCAATTACCATATCCTATTCAAAGAGGGACCTTGAGGAAGCGGCAACTTATACAACATTAGATGTTAGTTTTGGGTTAGTTGCATATTATGCAACAAGTGTGGTAAACGGCATTTGAGTCACGAGTACTATTTTGCTGAGCTCCGTGTATAATTGAGCATTTCAAAGAAGGGAGTAAAAAAAAATATTTTTCACATTGCTAAAGATAATTTAAAGAATTTGAGATTTAAAAATAAAATGCGTATATCCCTGTACATTTTTACTTCGAAAAAATTGTTTATCGGCTATTATATTTCACTCAAAATATTTATTTCGGAGGTGCTTAAAATCAGTTCGATAAATGCTTGTTACAGAATGCTCGGACAAATATTGTTGGAAATCGTATTTTGCTCTTTGAGACATTTTTTTCGATGTTTACCGTCTTTTTAAAAACACGTAGCCGTATTTTTCGCAGTTCCGAATTGACTGTATTTCCTTAAATTGCTTATTCTTTCGACAAACTTCTATTCCTTATTTATAAAGTTCGTAACCCTAATTAAGTTTCGCGGAGCTCTTCGGAGAACTCATTTTACGCCCGAGAACCATTTATTTTGTGTCGAATTTTTCTCAAGGTAAGACTTTTATTTAAACGGAAATCAAGCCCTAATTAATTTGCAATTTCTGAGACTGTATCAAGAAAGTCAATTAAAATTTCATCTTAAATTGAAAAGGTAAGCAGGTAAGGAGACAAACTTGTTTTATTTCTTATATTTAATCTGAAATTAGCTCATATCAAGCCTGGTCAAGTGGGAATCATGTACAGGATGATGCGTTTTGTTATGGGATGGTATATCTCAGAACCTGTAAAAAAAAGAAAAAAATTAATTGTTTTGTATTTTCATATCTGACATCTTCTACTGAAGTTTTCACGGTTTTTGAAATTTTGAAATAAGATTGGGTATGGGAAGTTCATAGTTTTTTGGAAATGTATTGGAAATACATTTGAATAAATGTACAAAGATTTTTTAAATATCATAATTAACTAACTAATTTTCAAAATTGCGTTGGGATAATTTAATTTCATCATACCTTAAATATTTTTTTTCTAATTTCAAAAAATTTCTATTATCTCATACGGAATAAATTTTCAGTGAACTAACTAACCAAGCAAGTTTGTATTGTATTGTCATATAAACGAACCCCTACCTTACAAGGTCAAAACTGTAGTGTTGGGGCTGGTCAATTGACCGTCGTTTGACCACTTCTTAATAGACGAGTCAAATTCGATCAAAGTGTTTTAGATAAAATCTTGCAATTGTAGAATGTTATCTACCACTATTTAATAATAATATGCATTTTGTTATCAGGTCCAATTTACCTATTCATTACCTCTTCAAGGAATACCTGAATACGATACTTAGCGATTTGGGGAATTTCAAACATCGATTCCATTTCGTTTTCAGAACGACCCGACGGCGACGTAACGTACAATATAAATAAATAATCATAAATTTCATTGTATTTTTAAAATTACTTAGGTCAATTGACACAAAAGTATTTGACCGGTCAATTCCACAATTCTAAAAACTGTAATAGATTTTTTGCAATATTTTGCATTTTTACGACACATTTAAAAGAGTATATTTGTTTGTATTGCCGCGCTTTTGAAATTGAATATATTTTTTCTACTCCTTTCTGTAAAATACCTAATTATACAGCGATCTACCGTGCGAAAAGTGTCATTTTGCCACGTCAGTTTCGTTTTCCACGGAACCGAGCCACTTGGGACATTTCAATGTACTCAAAAACTAACGGCCGTAGAAAAAGTGTAGTATGTAACAAGTAAAGGTTTTCTAACGAAGGATCTCGTTTTTAAAAAAACACTTTTTTTGTTTTACAAACAGAACTACGAGGTTTTATTTAACCCGTTACAAGGAGAACTGAACGCAAAGTACAAAGTGGTCATATATATAAAGTTTTTATGCAAGCGTAGCGTCGCTGGTACTTAGAATACTGTTTCCTGTTAGTCATCAGCATATTCTATCACATAATTAACATGTTTGGCAAACTTTTTGTCACTCATGCGTGACTCAAATGTCCTTTACCACTCTTGTTGATTAATATAATATTTGCAACCCACGAAAAAACATTTTTCCATTTTTTTTTTCGGAGACGCCACAAACGAAAAGTACGATATTTGTCATTAAGAGTTTGGTCAGATTTGCAATTAAGTACTTTATTTGCTTGATGAAAACATTTCCCAATGCACGCGAATAACGTTAACATATCAAATTGCCGGGGATTAAAAGTCTGGTAAAATATTGTATTTGTATGAGTATCACTAATCTGATCCTGTTTCACTATAACGTAAGCATTCTTGCAAGTTCTTGGGAAAAGATACCAATAAACGATTCATAGCCGTTCTTTTCTCCTCTAAGTATGCGTATTGATGTCGTAAAATACTCAGACCGTCCAGTAACATTTTGTTCCTTTGTGATATCACAACCGGTAGATTGCGGTCCAGGATGCATCGACAGTGTTGGTAATTCATCAAAATTTCATCGAACTGCTGTTTAAGTTTACCCAGTGAATCTTCGTTGACATTCAATATTTCCAAAAGGATCTTCAGATTTTTGAAAGCCAGTTTGAAATTATGGCGACGTAATTCGAAATCCGCGTGGAGCTCTATTATCGAATTACTGGAATTTAATTCCACTAACAGTTTGGTCTTCATTCTTTCGTATTCCTCAAAGTCGATCTTTTCATTCAATACTTTCAGGCAATTGGATATTTCCTCGTCGATACGATTTTCGCGAACCGCGTAGGAATTTAGCCACGATCCTAATCGAATGATAGATCTGGATTCCAATAGCCCACAGTCGATGTGATTTAAGACGCTTTCTATTAAGTTTTCAAGAAGGTTGTAGGAATCCCAAAGCTGCAACATTTGTTAAATTATTACTACGTTTTTATTAATAGAAAAAAAAACAAACAACACAGGACGAACAATTGTGTCGAGCACTCGATTTGGTAAATTACCGTTTCAGAGTTCTATATAATCACTTTAACTTTTTTGCTATGGAAATCTTTGTGTTTCTATGAAAATACTACCAAAGCATTCTTTTACGGAGAATTTAGTTGACTAATCTTTAAAACTAATAGTTTCATAATTTTCAAATGAAGAATCGATTTCTATATAGAATAAACTGCACTTTCCGAATATTGAAAAGAACTTGGAACTACCCCTCCAAAAATATTGTATGCTTGGTGATTTCCTCGAGTCTTATTCAAAAAAGCATTGTTTTTAAAACGTTTAATAAGTTGACCTTGCGTACTGTATGTTGAGGTTTTATTTAGGCTTTCAAAAAAAAAAAAAGGATTAATTTAGTATTTTTCATGAAAACCGACTATGCATCTACTCCATATGTGTTGGAAGAACTAGTAATTGTAGGACTTTAAAAGTAATCCTACGACATCGACAAGAAAATTAGACATATTAACAAGACCAGCAAGAGCCAACGTTAGATAAACTATTAAAGAAAAACAAATACATGCAACATAGTACCAAAAAAATGGATATTGCAAAATGACGATTCGTTCTTCATCTAAAACTGTTAGATGATGCAATTTATATATATCCAAATTAAATTTCGTCGTTTCCTTTCGTGCACTTCATTTCCCACAAACAGATGGATAATATTTAAACGCTCTAAATAACGTTGGGAATTTAAATTCTAATCAAAAAATACGGAACCTATTATTCTGAACCTTCAAATGGCGTACCTTACTTTGACAGAAGTTTTACCTGTTCTTGTAACTTCCTTGTTTTTTTATTAATGTTGTTGCTCTAGTAATGGGTGTGGGTGATAAAAAAATTTTAGTTGAAGTTGTAAATATGGACTCACCTGTCCGAATAATAATAGCAAATATATTTTCTCAGTCTCTCCATAAAATGCAACAAAATAATAAACACAATATGAGGACGTCTATTTTTTTCTTTATTCAGGGTTCGGTTTCTATTGTTGGATATGTAACTTTCTAACATATCAGTCTTTTTCTCTGCGGTAAACATGATACGCAAGAAAGGGAATATATTAAATTTATTTACTTTTTCCAAAAATATTTGAATTATGACAGTAATACACTTCCAAGGAGGCAGCATTCTAGAAATTGTTTTGATTAAATGCCACCATAGCCACCTTACACTAATTGAACTTATATGGTAACAGTATATTATTTGTGATAGATAAATGTTTCCAAGGAAATATTCCAATAAGTAAAAATAGTAGGCGTATATAACCTTATATAAAATTGCCTTAATTTTATCTCATTTTAATTTGTTTAATTTCATTTTTAATCGTATTTTTTGCGTACCCTGTATCATTATGTATCGAAATTTGTTATGAAATCCGTTATTCGAGTCCTTTGTCCACAACAAAACTTATTCAAGTGAAACAATGAATGCTTTCGAATGAAGAAATTGGCAGATATTTGTTGCAAACGTCATTTTCGCATACAAAATTAAAAATGTCAAAAACGGTATGACACACAAAATATGTCTAGAAGTAATATACTAGGTGTTCCATTTAAAATAAGAAAGATGATATTCACCCAAGAAAAATTAACCACTGTATATTCAAAATTAAAATAAATTAAAGGTTTGTAATACCTCAATTAACTTTTGTATTTAACTTTTAGTTCCATCCCCTATAGTATTTGAAATAAGGTAATGTTCCAACATAAACGGCCCACCCTATACAAATTGCATTTCGCGATTAACGCGAAATGCAATTTGTATAGGGTGGGCCGTTTATGTTGGAACATTACCTTATTTCAAATACTATAGGGGATGGAACTAAAAGTTAAATACAAAAGTTAATTGAGGTATTACAAACCTTTAATTTATTTTAATTTTGAATATACAGTGGTTAATTTTTCTTGGGTGAATATCATCTTTCTTATTTTAAATGGAACACCTAGTATATTACTTCTAGACATATTTTGTGTGTCATACCGTTTTTGACATTTTTAATTTTGTATGCGAAAATGACGTTTGCAACAAATATCTGCCAATTTCTTCATTCGAAAGCATTCATTGTTTCACTTGAATAAGTTTTGTTGTGGACAAAGGACTCGAATAACGGATTTCATAACAAATTTCGATACATAATGATACAGGGTACGCAAAAAATACGATTAAAAATGAAATTAAACAAATTAAAATGAGATAAAATTAAGGCAATTTTATATAAGGTTATATACGCCTACTATTTTTACTTATTGGAATATTTCCTTGGAAACATTTATCTATCACAAATAATATACTGTTACCATATAAGTTCAATTAGTGTAAGGTGGCTATGGTGGCATTTAATCAAAACAATTTCTAGAATGCTGCCTCCTTGGAAGTGTATTACTGTCATAATTCAAATATTTTTGGAAAAAGTAAATAAATTTAATATATTCCCTTTCTTGCGTATCATGTTTACCGCAGAGAAAAAGACTGATATGTTAGAAAGTTACATATCCAACAATAGAAACCGAACCCTGAATAAAGAAAAAAATAGACGTCCTCATATTGTGTTTATTATTTTGTTGCATTTTATGGAGAGACTGAGAAAATATATTTGCTATTATTATTCGGACAGGTGAGTCCATATTTACAACTTCAACTAAAATTTTTTTATCACCCACACCCATTACTAGAGCAACAACATTAATAAAAAAACAAGGAAGTTACAAGAACAGGTAAAACTTCTGTCAAAGTAAGGTACGCCATTTGAAGGTTCAGAATAATAGGTTCCGTATTTTTTGATTAGAATTTAAATTCCCAACGTTATTTAGAGCGTTTAAATATTATCCATCTGTTTGTGGGAAATGAAGTGCACGAAAGGAAACGACGAAATTTAATTTGGAAGCAGGATGGCACACTGTAGAAAATGAATTGGGGAGAATGGTAGTTACGCCTGACCTCCAAGGACTTAACTCCCCTTGATTTTTTCCTGTGGAGTACACTTAAGGATCTAGTTTGCAAACACAAACCGTCAACTGCGGAGGAACTTAAACGTCGGATAAGAAAAAATGTATCGGCTATTTAAATGGGACCGAATCTGTTAGTAATGCCATTACGTATTACGTATTTAGAAACTCTTTATATTATTTATATTGCTCAAAGTGGAGGATATATTGAACAACTATTACAATTGTTATTATCCTTGGAAGCTATTAATTTTTTATTGATCGTTTGTTAATAAAATATTCACCAACGTTATCGCGTATCCTTGGTCTTATTCTGTAAAATTGTAAATCATAGTGGAAGCACTCTAGCACTTGCCGTCACACCTACCTTACGCTAACTGAACTTAATTGGCAACAGCATATAAGTAAAGGAAAAAGTAAAAATATAAGGCATATACAACCTTATATAAAATTGCCTTAATTTTTAATGCTAAATATGACAAGATTATAAAAATAGATAGTTTCCGTTTAAAAAAAAAAATTTTTTTGGCAGTCTTTAATTTCATTTTTAATCTTATTTTTCGCGTACCCTGTATTAATATGTATCACAATTTCATCTACAACAAAAACTTACTCAAATGCTTCCGAATGAAGAAATTCACAGATATTTTACGCGTTGCAAATGTTATTCTTCTTATAAAAAATTCGAAATGTCAAAAACGGTATAGGACGTTAAACACAAAATATGTCTAGAATTTTGTATAGAATTCAAAAATGAGTTAATATACTAGGTGTTCCATTATCACGAAAAATTAAACACCCTTTACATACAAAATTAAAATAAATCCAAGGTTTGTTATACCTCAATTACCTTTTGTATTTAACTTTTGGTCCCATCCCCTATAGTTTCTGAGATAAGATAGTAGATAGAAGATAAACGGCCCACCCTATACAAATGAAAAGAGTTACTGAGGAACATGTTTTGAAAACAACTTACTTATTTTTAATTAAAAAAAATGTTGTATTTCACAATTACCGACGGAGCACCAACAGTTTTCAATTCTTTTGTTGTATTATATTAATTATTTAGTTCAAACGTCTTTATCTAATTTACGTCAAATATTACGTTTACATTTGTGAAGCCTTTCGCACCATCCTTTTTTTCTTAATTTTCTTGTAAACTACGACTCGTATTTATATGAACTTTTTTCATTTTTTGAAATGGCGAATCTCCAGCCAAGAGTTAACATCTCTTTTTGAAACACCCTGTTTAATAAAAATTATTCGTTCAGCCCAAGTTTTCACCACTCGCTCGAATAAGAAAAGGTTTGTCTTAAAAAATATAATATTCGTATATGTAAAAAAATTTACGCTAAAAATTAAATTTCCGATCATTTACGCAAGGAAATAGTAGCGCGAACAGTTTATAAATCAAATAATGTAGTACTACAAACTTGAACATACTTCCTACTTGCTAGAAATATGTCCACTTTCCAAGAATACTTGAGAGAAGTTGCTGTTTAATATTTTGTTTGTCCAAACACTAACTATTCAAATTCGTAACTATTAATAAATATTTCTTCAGCTTTTGAGATTCTATAAACAACAAAAATGAAAGTTCCAAAGAAGTAATAGGTTACCGCTGTATGCTCCTCCAACGCTTTGCATTCCTCTAAATATGTATTTGCCAATTCGATTTTTAATTCTTCGTATTTATCGGCACTATTTTTGTTATTCAATACGGTTTTTCGTTTTATAGTCAAACTCCTCGAATATTCTTCCTCGTAGTAAGTTTCATCCGATGTGTTCATCGAATAATCTTCCTTCGTTTCCTTTTTTAAATCGATACGTCTCTGTGATAGAATCAAGTCCAGTTCCTCCATTAGTATTTTTCGTTTAAAAATATATCTGTCAAGTTTTTTATGTCAAAGAAATGTACGTCAAAACACCTCGCATACGTACGTGCCATGTCAAGTTAGCGCAGTTTGGGAAGTTCGGTGCAGTAAACACCAAATTAAGCTACAAACTGAGCTACTTATGCCTCTTGACAGGATCGCATAAATCGAAATATTTTTCTATAGATTTCATCGATTATTTCGATGTGCATAGTCAATCAATCAACCTAAAGCTAAAGTTATTCAAATTTTCAACTAAAATTTAGCACCAAAGGTATATTTATACATCATATCAGTGCCGTGTCAGTTCATTATCAGTGCCAATCAGTATCGATCAGGGATACCAATTCACACACATCTGTAGTAAGTCCTATGCATTCAGTGAAGTACAAGATCACATGTTTCACAAATGAAGAATTGGGATTTATTGCTACAGCTTTAGATGAGCAAGTGGAAGAAAATCATACAAAGAAACTATCATTCCCGACTTTTAAAAAAAATCACGAAGCGGACACTGATGGTAAAAAATCGGTTTTACTCTGGTTTTTCTTTTCACTGATACTTACACTGAAGGGATCCGGCACTGATACGGCAATGATATGTATAAATAGACCTTTATGGAGGCAAAAATAAATTTTACCCGACAGGTTATTGCGATTTCATCTGTTTGTTTCACGGTCATGCTTTCAGACTAACTTTAAACATCCAATCATTAGATATACGTCTCATAGTGAGGGCTCACAGACAAATTAAATACCTGTCACGTATTGTAGATATACCAAACAATAATGCATTTTTTTAAATTTTTACCTGGGGTCATCGCCCACGCACATTATGTTTTAGTCGGCCAATACATAGAATAATTGGGTATGGTAAAAATACAACACCCAAAGAGTTCTCTCTTGTTTTTTTCAACTGAGTGAACCTTTTTTTTTTCATTTCTTATTTCTTTACTGAGTGGATTCTTGTACAGAAGTTAATCTAGAAGTTAAGATGAATCAGATCAGGCTAATTAGCAGGACACCAAATTAGATGCACCTATGAACAACTTAATGAATTCAAATACCTAAGGTGTGGAAATCACACTTAGAATAGAGCGGATGTGTAAAGTGGAATAACCGGCAGTGGCTGGCTTTCTAGATATGACTTGAACGTGGATAAGTGCAAGATGAAAAAATAGAAGGCTTCGAAATGCGGTGTTACGGGACAATGCTAAAGAAATTATTGGTAGACAGGATTAATATTAGATATGTTGCATACAACTACCATATATAGTAGTGGTCTAATTCATAAGACTTCATTCGTATCTGGCAAAATAGAAGGGAGACGTTCAGCTGGTAGTAGTCATGGTTTAAAAACCTGTGGTTATAGAATGTAACCTTTAAAACACGTTGTCGCATGACCATGATACAGATATAGTGGATTGTAACAAGACCCGTACTTTGCTTATCCATTATTAGCTCTAAAATTGCCTGATGTGATAATTACCCTGTGGAGTTTATAATCGGACATTCATTCTGCAGGAGATTGGTGAGATTGGGCACGGATAGTTTAAAACCAAGATCAATACCAATCTTTAGTCAAAATTATTGCATGGAATATATAAATGCTTATATGAAGAATAATTGTTATTGCGTGATAGCATGCATAACTCATTATAGGTCGTGAATTATGTCCATCATACTTCCAAACTGAGCAATCAAATTAGCGGGTGAAACACAAAATAGATTAGATCGTAATAACGTTTATTTCATAAATAAATACCTCGTGGCGTTGTGGATATAAGAAAACAATAAAGGTAGCAAATTACTGGATCGCTATAAAGTAAAATAAGCAGAACTACAGAATTTTATTAGTATGGTATGATAGCATATTCGCCTAAACCAATAATCACAGGTTGGAAGGTGATACAAACAGAAATGTCGTGCTATCTTAGATTTTTAGATACATGGTGATTTTTAAAATGTTGCATTTTTAGACATTCTTTGCAGTTTGGTTCCGCATTAACTTATCGAAAATATGGAAACTGATCCGAAAACGAAAGCAGTGAATAGTTAAAGTTTTTCAAGTTGGCAAGACATTGATAAGCACCCTGTATGAAATAAATACTTACGCTTTCGTGAACTGGCAATACATTTGAATATCTTGTAGTCTATTCCTGTCAATATAAAAGATTCGAATTAGAGAACGATAAAGTGTAAACATCTATTTAACCTACAAAAATATTCTTGTTTGACTTACTTCAAGTATTAAAATAATTATAAACAGAACTCTACCTTATACCTTACCATATGAAATATTTTTTCATAGCGATTCTGAACTCGAAAACGCACGAATGATGAAATTAAAGAAAGATGGATCTTGAAGGAAGTGAGCAGATAAACACAATGCAATTTAAACGGCATTTTAGGTTAGAGCCACATTCCTTTGAAGATTTGCTTGGGAGAGTAAATAATTTGTATAAGCCTTCAAAATTCGGGCATCCAGAAAAACCTCTGGACTTGAGTTTACTTATTTGTATATAGTACTTGGCAATAGTTCATAGTTTGAGGTAAGTTTGAGTTTATCCACTACAGCTTTTTGCTTTCGAAAAATCGCTGGGCGGGACAAATTCGTAGCGCGTAAAAACCGCTTCTCTTCATATTGCGTCATTCACGTCTCCCCGAACTTCAAAGTTAGGCAAACTTTGGTAAATACAAAAATTTATGTAAATAATAGCGATGTTCATTGATAATTCTTCAATTATCTCTGTATGAGAGACGAAGCATGAGACTCTCTCCCATACAAGTTATGATACTGTTTAATCTAAATTGTCCCACGTTCTATAGTTTTACATTTACGGCTAAAAATTTACCCATGAAAACGATAACTTGAAGAATCTTTTTGTTTTGTTTTTTACCCAAAATGGACACACCCTGTACAAAATCAAAAAAATGACCGATGTAAAAGTTAAAGCCCTGGATCTCCCACGTCTCGTAGTATATGAATTTTTCCAATAGAGTAAATGGTTTTCGAGTAAATACATGTTTTCTGAAAGCATGCAGTACGCCGCAATGGTAAATGACGTCATGGCGTGTAGATTGAGAGCCAGATACAGCGACTGTCACATGGAATTTTTCAAATATCTCAAGAAGCGGGTACAATAGACGAAAACCGTAAATACAAAAATTATAGCTCTTGATACGGCCTTCATTACTGTATAAACCAAATAGAAATATTTTTCACGTATTTTCATTTACGGCTAATAATTTAATGGCGGAAGGGCAATTGAAAAACTCTGTAAAAATGCCAAAAATAAAAGTTATAGTGCTGGATCTTCCGAGTTTTCTGGTTCAAGAATTTTGCCAAACGGGTGAACAATATTAGAGAAAATAATTTTGTTCTGGAAGCCAAAATCTCTCAAAAAAAATTACAAATATTTTTAAAAAATACTTCTCGATATTTAATGGGGTCCAGTTTTATCACTTTAAATGTAAGTGTGGACTTCTACCTCTCTGCCAAATCTGAAATCGGCAGCCGCAAATGTATTACGTTTTTTAATATTGCACGGAATATATTATTGCCAATTTTCAATATTTTTTCTTAACCCTGTACATCTTTCAAAAATTGTCAGGAATATAAGATTATGACCCAAATCTTCAGCCTCTTTCCATTCCAAATTTTTTTCGGTAGCGTAAACGGTTTCCGATTAATGATTTTTCTCTTTTTTCTCGTTTTTCTATTCGGAACTTACCCCAACATAAACGTCTACTAAACTGCGAAATAGGGTATTTTCTTTTTTCCTTCCCCAAATTTTTAAAAGATTTTGTAATTTACACGTTTGGCGCCCGCACAACAACAAATGGTTTGCCTTTTCTTCATTCGAAATCTTTAGTTTGATTAAAATTATACGACACTGCTTTTTCGAAATTTTCGTTTTCTTTTTACGCACCGTTTTGTCTGAACAAAAAACCGCTCTCGTGCCTGTTTTAATTTTGAAAAGTAACTTGTAAAAAATGATTGGTTTTACGGCCAAACTAATTGATAGGAAATATAATTTTTATTTGTACAAAAAATTAACGGCTTTGTGACGGTTTCATATTTCAATGGTAAAATTTAGCATTTTTAAAGTGAGAGTGCTGGCACATTTGCGAAGTAACGGGTTTATTTTATTAGTACCTTGTAGAATTAATTGTACTGTCCATTTCCTTCACCTTTTGCTGTTTGGCGAGTGCTTCTTAACAATTAAAATTCTTGTTTATTAGGTTCATATCGATTTTGCAATTTGAACACACGTTCTTTTGTAGACTCGGTTCCTTTAGTTTCGGACTTGTACTCCCCGGCCGATTGTGTTGCCGAACCATAAATATTTTATGCTGCAACGGCTGTGTGCGTGGCCCCTTGTTCGCTTGGTTTTCTCTTAAGTGACACCGGTTTACTGAGAGATACTAATGCAAAAAACAGAGTATTAGTTGCGCATTAGAAGGAGTCATAACCATTACCATCTGTCACCCTATGAGACTAGGGACCACATTTGCTTTTCATTGCTTCGGTATTCCTTGGCGAGCCTAGTAAACATTGTTTTGTTTCTTAACCTATTCTTCCTCGATTTTCTGTGACTGGCCGTCCGGTCGCCACCATGGATAGCGTTCGGGTAATTCGATCTCGTTGACGCAACCTCGATTCTTTGGCACGGGCCATACGGCCATCACCACAGATATAGTTCGGTTGTTCTTTCTACTGGCGGCGTACCGTCGACTAGGTTGGCAAGAGTGGCGTTTTCCCTCTAATTTTTTGTGCCCGTTTAGCCTTTTAATAAAACTGGTTGTCTGAATCGTCCGGCATTTTGTACGCTGGCTTTTGAAGCTTGGGGTTGTGGCAGATTTTCTTTTGTGTGACCGATTTCTTTTTGAGCCGGTAGTGCTACCCCAATAAGAGGGGGATATGTGAATTGGTCACTAATTTATGATTTCCCATACTTTTGGATCTATTTGGAGTTTGGAATGGGAATCTTCCTCAACGAGGGATTTTGAAAAGAATTGTCATTGCCCCATATTTCCAGAAAACCCTCGAATCGAGGTAAGTTACCTTTTGGAACCATTTCGCCACCTAATCAGTGTTCCTCAATTTATGCCGATTTTATTTTAGGGTTTTTTTTTTTTCCAATTAGTATTGTACGTATTGTTGCTCCGTTTCCCGCAAACCTTCCACGTGGTTTCTTCTTTCACCGGAATACCAGACCAGGCTTGGTGTCTTGCAGTGTATGCTATCTCTTGGGTACATGTTTAGTTGTGGAGTTTCCCCTATCGAGCAGCCGGCTTTCCGGACGGACTTTGCTGGGTTAACTGAGACTGCCCACCTGCGGCTGTCTCATTGAGCCACCATTCCAACTTGGCTTGGTCCCCGGGATAGTGACAGACAGCTGTGTAACGTTCGGGACATCTTGAGGTTTGGGTAGCTTAAGTGGCCTGTTCTCTTCAAGAACGGTTTGCGGAACTTATAGCCTTAAATTATAGTGTCTTACATTCTTTTGCACCGCCAAAACTTGAAGGTGAGATTTGACACTCACACCTACCACCAGGTTGAAGGAAATAAATTATTGTTCGTGATTCACTTGTTTATTTCCTTTACGGGTTGGAACCTCGGGTTGATAAGTCTACCTTTTTCGAATCACGTGGCGCCTACCTACCACCTTCCGGGACTGACCGAGGTGCCCTTCGCCGCCTTCCAACCTGGCTTTGGTTTAGTATATATATTTTTTTTCTTTTCTACTTTATTAATTTTTCTCCTTTGTTAATGAGCTAGCCTTGGCATTGTCTTACCTCACTATTAAATTACGAATTTAATTAATTAATGCGTTTCTTTTTCACGACCCTGAGATGGAGAGGTAAGAAACTGGCGCCCAACTGAATATTTTTTCTGAGTGTTCAAAATATTTGATTCTCTTCAAGTTTCGGTGGTTCTTTTATAACAAGTTTGTATATATTGCCGTTTTACTATGCAATGCATTTCATTTTTGCGGTTTAATTAATTAGTGTTGTACATATACAGTTGCGATATATTGTTATTTGTTAATTTTTGATTGTGTGATATTTGGACGATATCTATACCAGGTGGATACATTTTTTGGTATATATCCCTTTACTTGTGGAGGATAACTGTTGCTATTTTTTTTCAAATCGAAGCACTGCGGAATTTTTGTATATTCAATATCGGTAAAGTTGTATTTGTGTTTGCATTGGAAAACTATTATTGTTAAGAATTTTTTTTTGGAGGTGTCAAATTTCACAAAATTCTAGTACTTGGCTGGTGGTTATAACGGTGACTTCAAAATTGAGGGAACAGTGTGATTGCAATCCTCCGACCTCTTCTGTGATTTGGAAATTTATTTAAAAGCTTTTAGAAGTAATTACCGATAGTTCTGTATACTTTGCCACGTTTTCAGTTTATTTTTCACGGATCTTATTTGATTATTACTATTATTATTATTTTCAATTTGCGGCTTCTTTGATCAGCCACAGGTGGCCTAGTGCATCGCGAGTTGTGTGCGGGTGGTATTGTGTTGGTCCATTATTTGGTTGCTTCTATTGCGCTATCGTTCTCCCGTTTTTCTTTTCCTATTTTCCTTATGCCAGGAAGGGGTGGGGAATTTAATTATTTAAATTTTAAATGGAGATTAATCGGCTTTGGAGTGATGAATTGACTTGGGAGTTAGCTGCTAGAGGTTGTGATGTGGGGTCTACAGTGGATGAAAAGAGAGCTCAGTTGCGGGAAGCATTTCAGCGGAACATTCGGGAGGATATTAACATTCATTTTGAGCCATCTTCTGAATTGGGCATATGTGCATCTAAGTTGGATGAATTGGTGGGCCTTATTCAAGAGTTTGATGCGGAGAATAGAGAGAATGAATTCAAGAAAATTTACAGCAGGCTAATGCATGTCAAAAGCAGATTGCACAGAGTGGTAGCTGAGGGTCAGGACTTGAAATCAAAGAAACAAAACCTGATGTTTTTATTGAGTGGGTGTTTTGACGCCTTGCAGGACGCGAATCACATCGCCAGCCTTTGCCAGACTAGTGTTGGAGCAATGTGCACACAAAATGAATTTATTCATCCGGAGAGAATGGATGCTCCTGTGGGTAATTTGATAGATCTGGGAGGTGCAGCACCTGATCATAATCCTACTTTGGAGAGGCCGGTAGACTCTGGATTATCACGATCGCTCAATAATGATGTAGATTCCAACCTTACAGGGAACTCGTTTGGAGATGCAAGGAGGCGAATAACGGAATTTGAATTGCAGAATTTAGCTCAAACAATCAACCGTCGAGCCTGTACCCAGTTGGCCGATCGGTTGGCCGCATTTACAATTTGTCCGATTCCTTTTATGACTGAGGAGGCAACTTCTAGTACTCGTCGAGTATCATTTGCGACTAATCCTGACTCAAGCGCGGTACCAATGATCCAAACGTGCTGTCAATCCGGAGGAAACAGTACTTCTAGGCCAAATGGCAGCATATCGTTAATTACAAACCCAGTGAGTCACATTGGTGCACCGTCTCATGCAGGCTTGTCTAATGAGAGAGATGTGCCTCGATCCTCAGGATCATTCGTACCAATACACAAATGGAACGTTTTCTTTAATGGTAGTGGCAGTGTCACTTCATTTATTGAAGATATAGAGCATTTGGCGGAGTCAAGAGGAGTGACTGAAGATCAGTTGTTCCATTCAGCTTACGAAATCTTGAGAGGAGATGCACGAGATTGGTATACGCCCCGAAGGCGGTCGTTCCTTGGCTGGCCCGATTTAAGACAAAAGCTCCGCGATGCATTTCTGCCTCTGAACTACGACGAAGATTTGTTGGACGATATTAAGAGACGTACTCAGGGTCAAGATGAACGATTGCTATTATACGTTACAAGGATGCAAAATCTTTTTATGAAATTGTCTTCTAGCAAACCGTCCGAGAGCGAGCAAGTTAACATTATTAGAAGAAATCTATTACCACACTTACAGGTAGCCTTGAGCTTTCAAGAAATCGCCACCATCGAGAGTCTTTTGGAAAGGGGAAGAGCTGCCGAGGAGATACACTGGCGCGCACAACAATACTGTCCCCCACCTGCGCATCCTCGTCTAGTGCAGGAACCTCATTTGGCGTATCGTCACCAAACTGCAAACCGTCCTGTTCAGGTCAGAGCGGTGGAGACGGCAGTCCAAAGTCCTAGAGCGCAGCCTCGCTGTGATTTCCCAAGGAGACCAATTGAGTGTTGGAATTGCGGCCAGACGGGTCACAGACGATCCAGTTGTCCTCAATCACGTCGCTTATTTTGTTTTCGATGCAAGCAGCCAGGTTATACTATTAGAAACTGTCCAGAGTGCTCAAAAAACGAGACTCAGGGGAATTAAGTGGTCGGTTAGTGTCCCCTGTGAATGTTTCGACGACCGATAATGTACACACTTCTGCTTTTCTTCAGAAGCGAGCATTGATTGATTACGTAATATCCCATTCAAATCAGGATCAGAGACCGCATATAGAGGTTACCGTTTTGGGACATCCCATTCTGGGTTTGTTAGACTCTGGGAGTAGTGCCACTTTAGTTGGGAAGTCAGGTTATATGACATTGATGCATTTAGGTTTGAAGTTGGATACCTCTCGGAAAACGTTGTGCTCTGTTGCGAACGGAAATACTTGTCGGAGTATTGGATCCGTAAAGACGCCAATGTCCCTGATGGGGAGGGTGTCTATTATAGATGTTTTAGTGGTACCGGAGCTATCAAATAACTTAATTTTGGGAACCGATTTTTGGATTTCAATGGATGTAGTACCGAATTTGAAAAGGAACGAGTGGCGTTTTGGAGAATACCCTATGGTGGAGGTTTGTGGTATTACGGACGAGAGCACTTTGACTGAGGACCAACGAGAAAGATTGAACTCTTTAGTGGATGAAAAATTTGAAAGAATGAGCAAAGGTTTGGGGTATACTACAGTGGCGACTCATGAGATTGTCTTAGAGGAGAACGTTAAGCCCATTAAACAGCGATATTATCCCGTCTCACCCTTCAAGCAGAAGATCCTTGATGAAGAAGTTAAGAAAATGCTTGAAATGGACGTCATCGAGCCTTCTAAGAGCGCTTGGTCTTCACCAGTACTTCTTGTGCCCAAAGAGGACAACGCCTATCGATTTTGTGTAGACTACAGGGCACTTAATAAGGTTACTAAGAAAGACGCATACCCTTTACCATACGTTTCATCAATTTTGGACAGGCTGCGTGGAGCCAGATATTTAAGTTCCATGGACATTAAGTCGGCATTTTGGC